CTGGAGTACTGCGCCCAGTTCTGGGTGCCGCACTTCAAGAGGGATGTGGACAACATGGAGAGGGTCCAGAGGAGGGCCACGCACATGATCAGGGGGCAGCAGGGCAGGCCCTGCGAGGAGAGGCTATGGGTCCTGAACCTATTCAGCCTCCACAAAAGAAGGCTGAGGGGGGATCTAGTGGCCTGTTACAAACTAGTCAGAGGGGACCAGCAGGCATTGGGGAGTCCCTGTTCCCCCGAGCACTACCAGGAGTGACTGTTATTTCTAGTCACAAGCTGGCAGAGTGTAAATTCAGATTAGACATCAGGAGGTGCTACTTCACTGTGAGGGTGGCTAGGATCTGGAACCAACTTCCAAGCAAAGTGGTGCTGGCTCCTACCCTGGGGGTCTTTAAGACAAGGCTTAGACAATCACCATGGCAGGGGGTTGGACTTGATGATCTGCTCAGGTCCCTTCTGACCCGACTAACTATGCAACTGAGTAACTGCAGGGCTCTGGGGCTGGGATCAAGGGGTCGGGGGTGCAGGTAGTCTTTTCTTCTGTGCTCCCAGTTGTGGGTCATGGACCATGTATGCATCAAAGAAATGAACCAACAACTCTGGTGGTGGTGTTACTGAGAGAGCTTTGGTTTCTTCGACCACAGTACACATTTCAGGAAGAGAGGACTCCTGGAAAGGGATGACACACAAGAAAGCTCCAAAGTTGGGGACACTAGGAGAGACACTCTTGCAAGACCTGAGGGAATGGTTCTTCCTCAGCATGACAGGAAATGGAGGGTCTCAACTGGAGGACTCAGGTGCCTGTACACTAATGCCAGGAGCATGAGGAACAAGCAGGAGGAGCTAGTCCTCCTACTCTCCAGTGGGCATTAGAATCTAGTAGGGATTACAGAGACCTGGAGGGACTCCTCACATGACTGGAACATAGCCATAGAGAGCTACACCCTGCACAGAAGGGACTGAGTAGGGAAGAAAGGTGGAGGTGTAGCTGTCTATGTGAGGGAGCAGTACACCTCCTTGGAGGCCGAAATCAACTCCAAAGAAGAGCCACTCGAAACCCTCTGGGTCAAACTACAGGGGGGGCAGGGGGAGAGGGCAGTGAGAGAGACCTAACTGTAGGTGTATACTACAGGCTACCAAACCAGGGGAAGCAGCTCAATCTGGAGTTCTCTTGAGAACTGGCAAAGGCCACGCATGGGCCATGGTCATCATGGGCAACTTCAATTACCCAGATATCTCTTGGGGGGGAACACTTGGCTAAGTCAGATAGGTCACATTGCTTCCTGTCCTGTACCGAAGAGCTCTACTTGACTCAGGAAGTGCATGGGCTGACCAGAGGTAACACTCTCCTAGACTTGGTCTTGGCCAAAGGAGATGATCTGGTGAGCAATTTGAATATAGAAGGTAGCCTGAGCGACAGCAACCACAATACCATCATGTTCACTGGCCATCACAAGGCAGGCAAATCAGATAGCAGGGTTGAAGTTTTGGACTTCAAAAAAGTGAATTTCAACAGGATCAGGGCAATAGTAGGGGAAGCATTGCAGGACCAGGGACTGAAGGTGAAAGGAGTGCATGAAGAGTGGTTGTTCCTCGAGGACATGATCCTTGAAGCCCAAAAGAAGTCCATTCCCATGTGAAGGAAAGGTAGCAGAAGGGCTTAACAGGGATATCACGGTCCTCTTGAATAAAAAGAGAGAAGCATACAAACAATGGAAGCTTGGGACAGTTTCCAAGGAGAACTATACAACAACAGCCCTCACCTGTAGGTAGCAGATTAGAAAGGCTAAGGTGATAACTGAAAACTAGCAACAGAAATCAAGACAAATAAGAAGCCCTTTAGGTATGTTAGGGAACAAGAGAAAAGCAAATGGAAGTGTGGGGCCATTGCCTAACAACTCAGGAGAGCTGGTTACCGACATTCAGGAGAAAACTAAACTCCTGAATGACTACTTTGCATCAGTATTTCACCGGACTAAGGGGAAAATCATACTAGGTGGGGTTCAGAATGGGCATGGTGGGAATGTCCACCTTCCTGCTGTTGACATTGAGCTGGTGCATGATCAGTTAGAAAAGTTAGACATTTATAAGTCAGCAAGACCAGATGAACTTCATCCGAGAGTGCTGAAGGAGCTGGCTGAAGTCATTGTGGGACCTCTGGTGAAACTCTTTCAAAATGTGTGGCACTTGGGGGAGATCCCTGAAGACTGGAAGGGGGCAATGTTGTGCCCATCTTCAAGAGGGGAAGGAAAGAGAATCTAGGCAACTGCAGGCCAATTAGCCTAACTTCTATCCCAGGGAAAATCTGGTTGAGAGGGGACTTGGTAGCAGCTTACCGCTACATCAAGGGTTCGGTGAACAACTGTTCACCAGGGCACCCTTGGGGAAAATCGGGAGAAATGGCCATGAACTCCTGGAAGACTATTTCGGGCTTAACACTAGGAAAAACTTCTTTACGTTCAGGGTGTCCAGACTATGGAATAAGCTCCCTCCAGAGGTGGTGCAATCGCCTACCCTGGAAATCTTCGAGGAGACTGGACGGTCACCTTGCTGGGGTCACCTGACCCCTGTTGTCTTTCCTGCCTAGTGCCGGGGGCTGGAGGTACCTTCCAGCCCCTTACAATCTATGAATTTTGGATTTCACAAAATCTTTAAGATGTTTTGTAAAAAAACAAAAGTGATGGATTTCACAATAACTTTGAAAATTTTGCAAGGCATTCCCACCTCAGCCTAAGTCTCAGCCCCAGC